GCGCCCTGCGTGCAATTTCCATACACGCATGCAACGTGCGCTGTCAAATCCAACCTCCTTTTTTCCACATTCTCCCTCCCAGGCCATAGTCGGCACTATTCTACTCTCAGGAATACTGTTTTTAGTTTCCACACATGCGAGAACCACGTGGTGTTTGTCTTCCTGTGCCTTTCTCTGGACGTCACTTACCCTGATCTCCTCCAGCTCCATCCAGTTTGCTGCAAGTGGCAGGAGTTCCCAGGATTTCCTGCTGGCAGAATAAGAACCCGTAATTTGTGTTTGTGCCCCACTTTCCTTACCCACCATCTATTTGTTGTTATATATATATATAAACAATATATATATATTTGGTATTTTTATTTTTTGTACATTTTCTTTTTTATTATTTTTAATTTTTTATTTTTTAAAGATAGTACAAAGTAGTATTAAAACAGAAAAATTATAAGTGATGCAGAATTTCACTTAACAAAATAACATGAATTTCACAGTATTTGTTGTAATGCATGTGTTGTCTTCCAACTAGTTGTTCTTATTACTAGATATATGCATGTAAAATCGGAAGAAAGAAAAAAAGAAAGAAATATATAAGAAATTAAAAAGAGAAAAAGGTCGAAGAATTGAAAAAAAGGAGACAAAACAAATTAAGCATTAACTGCTCCTTTCCATAATGCAGCATAAGTCCAGAGTACAGTTTTCCAAGCCCTCCTGCTTACGTGCATAGATCTATCTCTTTCCCTCACTACCTCTCCTGTCCTTTTCCTCAACTCATTAATTCCTTCATTTGAATAGGTTCATTCCCTTTTCCCAGTATCTGTTGTACCTTTCAGATTTTTTTGTATCTGTGTATTCAAAATGGTTTAGGATAGATATACACTTACATTCCCACCATCTATTGACAAACCCCTGGGCAGGCTCCCCTGGGGCTGTTGCGGATGGTACTGCCTTAAGCTCGGCTTCGAGGGCTCTCTAATAGGCTGATTTCGTTTCCCACTACCCAGGAGTAGGACAGCTGCCTCAGCAGGTAGATCTGGTTCTGGTGTTCTGAGAAACGTGCATTCTCTGCCCTCTGGTAGCTGTACAGGTTCACATTCCTGCCAGCAGTGGATGAGAACTCTGCCCTTCTGCCCCCAAAATCACCAGGGTTTCTTTGTTTTTTTAATAATAGCCGTTCTGAGGTGAAATAGTATCTCTTTGTTGTTCTGATTCACGCATCCCTGATGCCTAGTGGTATGGAGATGGTGCATATTTCTCCCATTGTGTGTGTGTGTGTGTGTGTGTGTGTGGTTTTCCCATTGTTTTATATTGCTAAGTGATATAGTTGTTTAGTTTAGTTGTAAATTGGGCTGAGGTTTCTGTATTCTTTACCATGTTGCATTTAAACTTTAATATTATCTCTGTAGTTGTTTCTTGTCTAACATCCTCTCAGATCACCCACACTCCTCCTTTGTTTTTTTATTCACTTTAATAACAAAAAAAGATAAAATAGCAATGAAACAATTTTGGAATAGGTTAGTAAGACAGTTACAATGATTAATACATTGTATATTGTTGTCTTCATAGTAGTTAATCAGAGGACAAGACGTAGACATACCTTGTCTAGCTCCCATATTTTTTGGCCATTTAAAGTTCTTCTTTTGAAAAGTGTCTACTCGGATCATTTGCCCATTTTTATTGATATGCTTGGTTTCTAATTTTTAATTCTTTGTACATTCTTGATATTCCTCTTCTGTCTGATGAATAGCAGGCACAACTTTTCTCATTATGCTGTTGTTTGCTGTACAGTTTGATGTCTCATTTGTCAAATGTTGCTTTCTATTCCTGTATATTTGGAGTCTTACCCAAAAATTCATTGACTGCCAATCTCTTGAAGTGTTTCTCCTATTTTCTTCTCACATCATAGTTTTAAATCCTGCAAGTAGGTCTTTATTCCATTTTTAATTGATTTTTTTTATATGATGAGAGTAGGGATCAAGTTTTAGTTCTCTGCATGTGGATTTCCAGTCTTCCAAGCACCATTTGTTGAAGAGGGCATCCTTTTTCCAAAGAGTTTTTTGGGTTTTTTTGTTTGTTTGTTTTTGTTTATATGTTTGTGTGAATGTGGGAGGGTAATTAATCAGGGCCTTCACAATGAGTTATATCATAGCCTTTTAATTATTATTTTATCTTATTTTACACTTTGAGAAAGAGACCCCCTAAGCTGCTAAGTTGCCAAAGTTGAGCTTAAACTTGGATCCTCCTGCCTCAGCTTCCAGAAGTGCTGGCATTATAGTAGTGCACCACCATATTGGGCTTCTCCAGTATATGTTTTAAATGTCTTTGTGTATAAAGACATACATTTGACTACAGATATGTGGCTTTATTTCTAGGATCACAATACCAAGCTCTGTAGTTTGTGTTGAAGTTAGGTATTGTGAGGCCATTGTCTTTGTTCTTTTTGTTCAAGATTTCTTTGACTACTCAGAGGTCTTTTTGTTTTACATGAATTTTACGACTGTTTTTCTAGTTCTATGAAGAATGTCATTGGTGTTTTGATGGGGACTGCATTGAATCTGTAGATAGTGTTGGTATAGACATGTTAACACTATTCTCTCAATCCGTGAACAGGGAAGGTCTTTCCAAAATTTTTGTGTGTGTCATCTCCTGTTTCCTCATCAATGTTTTATAATTTTCATTGTTTGCACGAATAATTTAATAGTCCAATACTCTGGTTTCTCTTCAGATCATATAAATCTTTCACCTTTTAATAGTCCAATCCAGCTTTGGATGGCGTTCTTCATCTGTTCCACATCCAGCACAGGCTTAAGACGAATTCTGTCTTCGTTATGCAACCTCAGAAAGGAGCTGTGTACAGGTTCAGAGTGACAGGAGATCAGGTTTCCCTCAGCTTCTGGGTAGACCTGCTCGGATTCCATTGGCTTTCTCAACCACCCTTCCTCCCAGGAAAAAGCAACCTCCAAAATTCCAGTCCCCCCTCAAGGAATGCCCAACATCATAGCATAGCCTGCAATAGACGCAGGCTTCCCTTCCAAAGAATCAGTCTAGAAGCTCCCAAACCTGCATGGGCAAAGGGAGCGGGAGAAGCAGAAGAGACACCATAGTTTCCCAAAGCAAGAAGCTAGTTCTACTTCAGCCATCAGTGAAATTATCAGGCCTGTGCTTTGAAGGCCCAGCCATGGCTTTGCTCACTAGACATGAAAACATCAGTACTCTGTTGGCTCAGTGGGGCCTTTGCATCACAGTGACCACATTTCTGAGATGTGAATTTTAAAAAAATTCAAAGGAGAAAAGGTTTATTTTGACTCATGGCTTCAGGCATTTCAGTCCATGTTCACGTGAGCGTTGCACTTGGGGCATAAGAGGAAGCAGAACATTATGGCAGGAGTGTGGTAGAGCAAAACTGTTTCCTCCCTGTCAAGTCAGGAAAGAGAGAGAGAGAGAGAGAGAGAGAGAGAGAGAGAGAGAGAGAGAGAGAGACAGACAGACAGACAGACAGACAGAGGCTGGATTCCCAATATCCCCTTCAAGGCCACACCCCTATGACCTCATTTCCTCTCACCATGCCCCACCTTGTAAAGATTCCAGTAGCCCCTCTTCATTTTATTTTAGATGGGCAGTGAATTTTTATGCAACAAGGAAGTACTGAGACTTCCTTGGGCAAACTATTTTCATTCTTTGTACTTTAATTTCCTCTTCTGTGAGAATTAAATGTGCATGTACTGGGACTATGTTTCCATCAGAAACCCCCTAACGGGGTTGGAAAAATAGCTCAGCAATCTAGTGGTGGCACACGGCTGTAATCCCAGTGCTGGGGATGCTGAGACAGGAGGATCTCTATGAGTCTGATCTGCATAGCAAGACCCTGTGCCACATAAATCAATCGATCAATCAATCAAAAGAAAATCCCTGGGCTGGCCAGCTAGCTCAGCAGACTTAAGTGTCTGCTTAGGCAGAGCGCAGCAGCCAGGCTTCAATCCCCTGTGTGCTGTGCTGTCCTGCCCTGGGGATGCACTAATATGGAGATTCAGACTGGGCATAGTGGCGCATACCTGTAATCCCAGCACTTGGGAAGCTAAAAACAGGAGAATTGCTACAAGTCCAATCTGTGTAGTAAGACTCTGTAGGACCTGTACCAAATACATTTAAAAAAAACAAAACACTTAATGCAATATAGGGATTTATTCTCATTTAAGTCTCCTTGGCATTAGGGATCTTGGCTCTCTGTCTTTTTTGTTGATGTTTATGATCATCTTATGGACCAACTGTTGGGCTTGATTTTACACAGACAAAGGAAGAAAGAAGAAAATGACAGACCCCTTAACGATACTTTCTGGTAGTTGTGCATAGCTCTTCTGCTGATGCCCCAAATGGGCCCCGCAAGAGCATGATCTCTACTGTCCCTAGACCTGTGCCTGCTAACACGAGGGTCTCCTGCTGAGAGAGGAAGAGAAGGACGGGTTTGGGTCGTAGCTCAGTGGCAGATTGCCTGCCTAGCAGGCTCAAGGTCCTGGGTTTGAGCCTCAGCACAGAGGAAAAAGAGAAGAAAGAGAGAGAAAGAAAGACCGATATGGGGAGGGGGTGGCAGTGTTTGTCGCAATGTATACCAATTGCTGAATGTCGGAAGATGCCTCGCACATGTAACTGCTCACTATAATGCGGTTGGTATAAGTGTGCTCCTGTAACCACCATAGGAACACCTGGTCTTTCTGCCTAAATAGATCTTTAATTTCACAGCAACGCATGTGGCTCGCAGTTCTCTGCTGTGTGCTGTGGGGCATCCCAGAGCACAGGCTGGCTCCTAATGGGAGGAGGGGGGCCCTTGCTCGGCTTCTCCGGGTGAAGCCCAGGGAGTGAATGCGAAGGTGGGCGCCGCAGAAGCCCTGCACGCGCGGTTCTGCAGCTGGTCGTGGGTGCCAATCGTGACCCTGTTTCTTGCATTAAAAACAAAAAATATGAAAGGATTGAAAGAAAAAGATCAGCTGTGGGCTTCCCCGCTCCCTCAGGTTCTCAGAGACGGAGGCTCATCCCAGCGTTGTCCCTGGATACCTCCTCCCCTGTGCGAAAGCCCACGGCCAGCACCGGGGTCCGCTGGGTGGACGGCCCCCTACGCAGCACCCAGAGGGGCCTCGGGGAGCCTTTCGAGATTAAAGTCTATGAAATCGACGACGTGGAGCGCCTGCAGCGGCGGCGCGGGGGCACCAGCAAGGTGAGGCAGCATCCTCCGGCTCAAGGCAAGTCCCCGGGCTGATCCTTCCTCATGGAAGAGGACCCGGCCCAGGTGGGGCGGAGGGTGGCAGTGGACCCCTGTCCCAGCAAAGAGGTCACTGGACAGAGGGCTTGGAGAGAGCTCTGCTTCCTGTCCTGAAGCGCTAAAGGTTCACATCCTGGGGCCCCCATGGCTTGGGGCGCTTGCTGGCCTTTGATCTTGAGGTTTCCTCCCCAGTGCACACCGTTGTTAGCCCACCGTGTGACTTTTCCTGCTTCCTGAAGGGAAGTGTCACCCAGCACTGTTCTGCCGGGGCTGGGCGTCTGATCGCAGCGGCAGGCATGGGGCCAAGATCCCCACAGTCCCCCCACTCCTCCCCACGACCAGCTCCTTCTGCCCACTCCTGCTGGAAGGTGGTCCTCTCTTCTTTCTGGGCACCACCACTGTCTCCATCTCTGTCCCTGTGCAGGAGGTCATGTGCTTCAACGCGAAGCTGAAGATTCTGGAACATCGGCAGCAGAGAATCGCCGAGGTCCGAGCCAAGTATGAGTGGCTGATGAAGGAGCTGGAGGCCACCAAACAGTACCTGATGCTGGACCCCAACAAGTGGCTCCGTGAATGTAAGGCCCGGGACCTATCTGGGGGACATGCACTTCAGGCATGCCCAGGGGACGCCCAGGGGGCCATCTGGCTTTCCTCAGGAGACAGACAGGCCTGGCAGGGAGATGGGTGGTGGGTACTACACCTGTGAGATACTTCTGATGTAGCTCAGTCCCCAGCACCCGAGAATGAGATGCTCCCAGGCTGCCCTGCACGTGGCAGAAGACCACCCCCACATGAGGCCGCACTAGAAATCTCCAGGGTCATGGGGTCACACTGCTCATCTCCCCCGGAATAGAGTGGAATTTATAGAGCCACAAGAGGAACAGCCCTGGTGTTATTTCCATTTGATAGTAAGTTCAGGGTGACAGTAACCATCTGATAACAATTCAGGACAATTTTGTTCTCTTTGAGGGAAGATTCAATTGTCCCTTATTTATTTGTTCCTAACCATTCCATCTGTACCAAAGAAAGCTTCAGTCTGGTTCCAGTTATTAAACTGAGATGGAAAACAAAGCTGAAAGATTTAGCCTGTGCCATAACATACACTAGTGTCATTAAAAGTCCTCTCCCTTTCTGTCTCCTCTGACTCCTCCTCCAGCCACCTGCAGCTCCTCTTAGCCCTGCATGTCACCCTCTCTTGTCTGGCTTCTGGGGAGAGCCCATAGGTGGGGTCTGGACGCTTAGATTTGTGTCCTGAAGTAGCTGGTTTTATAAAAAAAAAAAAGACTGAGTGAAATCTGGGTGTGGTGGTGCGTGTAATCCCAGCACTCTGGGAGGCTGAGGCAGGAGGATGGCAAGTTGGAGCCCAGCCTGAGCAACTTAGCAAAAACTTGTCTTAAAAAAAGGAGTGGGGAGGTAGCTTAGTGTGAAGGCTCTGGGTTCAATTCGTTTTAAATGAGTAAAATGACATTAGGAGAAGAAGAAAGTATCAGGACTTGACATCCCCCCAGCCACGTGTAACAGTCTCCCAGCACTTTCTTTTCCACATAAAAAAGAGGTAATGACGTCTCCCTCAGGCACCCCCTGTGGGTCGTGCTGACTGCAGCCCTCTACAGAGCCTGTTACAAACTTGCCTTGCAACGATTACACCCAAAGCCCTACAGATCTGTTTGGGGCCCTGGTTTCCCTATGTACAGTATTAGCTGTGTGACCTTAGGAAAGGTGCTCTGACCCTCTCTGAATCTTGATTTCATTAATTGCAAAATGGTAAAGAAAAATAACTGCCTGTGTCACGAAGGAGTTACTGCAGTGTTGGTGGGGCGCTCAGTACCTGCATGGCCCATTGTGAGAGCCCAATATCTGGTAGTAATTATCCACTAAGTGTGCGCTCTCTACAGGGGACACTTCCTCGGGCCCACGTCCCTCATGCGCTGGTGGTTCCCTTATTAGAGATTTGGACAAAGCATGAGTTCTACCCCAAGGAGGATTTCCATGCATGACACGGAGGGGCTCACGGGGCCAGAACTCGGAATCCAGCTGATGTCCAACTACGGCATAAGCACAGAGCCTGTGTTTACCCTCCCACCGTTTGTGGACACCGCCTTCCTTCTGTCATGAGCCCCTGGGGACTTCAGGATCCCAGGGAATCCCTTCAGCAGGCCTTTCCTTTTTAGTTTTTTCATTAAAATTTGATTTTTGGAGAGCTGTTTATGCCCAAGGGGGAGGAGTGGAGAATTATCTCCATCTTACAAAGTCGCCTTTATTTCCCTGCGAGGGGAACAAGCTTAGACATCCAGACACGCACGTTAGATGCTCCCAGGGAGCAGTACTTCCTCCTCACCACCGTACATGTCAAGAATCAGCACTGTTTGATGCCGAGGAAAAGACTATACAGGAAGCCACGTGAAAGGAGAAATACAGATTGTTTCTTTAAGATGAATTGAAAACGAGAATGGATTAAAAAAATAACCCACATGGCTACATGCTGACTCTTCCCTGGGGGAAACAGGCAGGGGATTGGCACAGAGACTGATGTGCTAGGATCCATTTTGCTTTTTATGTTTTAATTCCACTGCCCCTGTCAAGGCAGTCCAGGGTTGCTGCCTGCTGTGGTTGCAGCACGGTGGGGTTTGTTTCTTAATTATTACACTGGCATTTGGTGAGCCCTGGTCCTTATTAATTTAATGGTGTGGCCTTAAAGTGAGGAAGCCTGCTGGCTAGAGCTCAGGCAGTTCCTTTGTGAGGAAGCCTGTCTCCATCACTCCTGGGAGTGGGAGTTTCTACTGCATGTCTGTTTCCAAGCCAGGTTCATGGTCCTAATCTTTGTTTGATTCTTACAACAGCTCAAGGTGGATAGCTCAGAGAGGCTAGGTACTGTCCTACTCACCTGTAACAAATGACAAATGATACCTGCAGAAGAAAGGTCGTGGGGCTACAGGAGTCACATGCCAGTCTCCTGGCTTGGACGTCAAGGCCGTCTCTGCTGCCCTTGACTGCCATCCATGCTGTCCTTCCCAAATAGGACAGTGACCTAGGAGCCCATCCTCCTTTCCTGTCATCCTGGGATAAAGGAGGGACCGGGGAGGGGCGGACCCCAAATACCCCCTCCTTAGGAGGATGCGACTTTGCATCCTGTATTGGCCCTGACACTAGGCAAGGTGTCCAATGGGCAATCTCAGCTTTTCTGCTGTGGGAAGAATCTTAATCCAGATCGTATTTATGGCCCAGTTTCCTGAATGACCAGTGCATGTATGAGACCCCACAAGGAAGAGCCAAGCGACAGGCTCAGAGGCAGCTGTGTAGGACACTTGAAGGAATAAGGAAAGGGAGGAACATCCTTTTACCTAAGAAGGCATAATATATCTGCCACTCCAGTGAGACCCCCCAAAGAAGGCTAGGTTGTCCCCAGCTGGTTTGTAGTCCTACGACTTCCTGGTCAAGAAGCAGAATGGGATAGCAGTCTTGTACAGATTCTGGGGTGGAGGTGACTGGGGGTGGAGGCTGCTAGGATGTCTCCTTATTCCCCAGAATAGTCTCCACAAAATAGGAAGGATCTGAAAACTAGTAACCAAGGTTCCCTGCCACTGCCCCAGGGGCCAAGTCCAGGTGAGAAGGAAGGCAGCCCGAGATCCTGAGGCAGGCCCCGGAGCAGATGGGCGCTGGGCGCGACAGGCAGGCGTGGTCCTGAGGCGCCTCCTCCTCTCTTGCAGTTGACTTGGAGCAGGTGTTGGAGCTGGATTCCCTGGAGTACCTGGAGGCGCTTGAGTGCGTGACGGAGCGCTTGGAGAGCCGTGTCAACTTCTGCAAGGCACACCTCATGATGGTCACCTGCTTCGATATCACCTCCAGGCGCCGATAAGGAGAGGCGGCCCCGCCCATGGCCCCTCGTCGCCCTCCCTGGGCCTTCTGTGCTGGCGGCACCCAAAGGCAGTAGACTGAGGATGCAGGTTGGCGGCAAGTCTGCAGTGAGCGTGAGCGGAAGATGGTTCTTGCTTTGTGTTCTGTAGGGAAGGTGCGAACACCAAATAACGTGGAAGGAGAAAGTGACGGGAAGCCCAAGGGACATCAAAGCCCCAGGAGACGGAAGAAGCACTTTGAGGAACTTTGGAGAACTCGTTTGTACATAAAACTGCTAGCAAAGGGACCTCACTCTTGTCTTGCTTTGGTGAGAAAGGGGGAGGGTGGACGCAGCACTGCTGACCATGGCAAAAACAAAACGGCAACGACGACATGACCCTGAATGACAGATCAAGTGCCTTGCAAATCTTTATGCTTATCCGAACATTTGTGTTCATACTTTCTGTGTACAGATGGTGCTAGTCAAGATGAAAATAACAAAATCAACAAAAAGAAAATCCAACACATTTTTGCAGTATGTTTACGGCTCCTTTTCTCTCTCAGTGTTTTATCCTATCGCTGACTTGCTGTTTCTAAGCAAGTTGTGTTTGTAGAGATATTTCCTAATCAGTATTGCATATGAATAAATGTTAACTGTCTTTTATGGTTATTCTGGTAAGGCCACTCACACAGAACCCAGAGACTTCATCTGTCCCCACCAGCATGTGGGTGACGCTTGATGCCACCTCCAAAGGGCAGCAGGATGCTGACGGCCTGGGCCTGGTTTGCATCCTTAGGGAAAGGTTGTCCTTTGTCTCCTGGGCTCACCTTCTCCTCAGAGGTGGGCTGTTATTTCCCCTCCTGTCTAGGGTGCGATGTTTTCCAAAACATGTTTGTACTTATTTCTATTCCAAAGACTGGACTGAAAGCTTGAGCCAATTCAGCACAGCCATATTTCTGTTTTTGAGTTTTGCACACATTGACATGGGGATGAGGCCTCAGGCAGAGAGAGACCTTCATCCTGTACCTGCTCGGCAGCTCTGATGTATTGGCTTAGAACGAGAGCAGGCCTGAGATGTCTTTTCTGTTGTCCAGAGTCCTGCCTAAATCAGGAAGTTCGGTTCTCCCTAGGCCAAATCCCATGCTACACAGAGACAGAGCTGGCTCCTCCAGCCATGGCTCTCCAAGGCAGGAAGGCTTTGCTCCCTAGGTCCCATATCCCTGGGCTGTAGAGCAGCAGTGAATGAATTCAGATGTCCAGGTCCTGGCTTCTCACTCTTAAGTTACACCAGCTCTCTCAGGAGCATGACATCCAAAAGGGATAGAAATCCCAGGCCACAGGGTTGAGAGACCTCACCTGCTAACAGAGGCCAGAAGCAGGGGCAGCAGAGCATTGTGGGAAGTCCAGAAGTGCTCCTGTCCTGGGATGGGCCCTCTGCTGGAGCCTCTGCAGCCTACTGGTGACAGAGTGCTGGGAACTCACCCAAAGCACTGCTCACTTCTAACCTCAGATGTGCATAGCTTCCCAAGGCTGTTCCAAGCTAGGCTTCCCTACTACCACCACCCACCCCAGCTGCTCCTCCAGGAGAAAGAAGCTTGTCTTGTCTTGGATGTACCTCTGGATGCGTGTAGCCCGATGCAGCTGACTAAACAGCCAGTAGGACTCAGTTAGACTCAGTAAATGGGAATGGAAGGCTTGTGAGCATCACCGTGCTGGTCCTGTTGGCTTCCACAGCACAGGAAGCCAGCTCCAGGGGTCACAATCTGGCCCTGCACAGTCTGGAAAGGTGTGTTCCTACACAAAGGTGGCCACATACGAGATGTTCAAATTGCACTCAAGTGGACTAAAATACAGTGAAAGGCTAATAGGGAATGGATTGTGCCACCTGCTCTGCATACTACAAGTATAACAAATGTGTTGTCTGGGGCAGCTCCCCTCCACCCTGAGGAGCCCACCACTGGCCTCACAGTGTGTGCATACCTCGTTTTGCTTAACAGCAATATTCTTAGAAGCTTCTGGATCCAAGGATATGCCAGCCCTGCAAGTTTGAGTTCACCATTGGCCTCCCTTTTCGTTGCTGGTTTGGACTGTACCACTTCATCAGAGGCCTTATTTGGGGGATTTTCAAAGGTGAGTATGCCTTGGTTTTTGTTGGAAACAAATTCCCTTGATTAGTCCTCAGTGAGCTTGGCCTTTGCCCCTGCCACCTTCTCCCTCGGCCCCAAGGCCATCATGCTGCAGTGACTTTCTTCGCAGGCCACTGCAGTGAGACAGAGTGGGAACAGTGACAGAAATTGGAAATTTCAGACAGTGGACGCTGTCCTGGGGGCATGGTCTAAAGCTCACTTCCTCCCTATATCTGTTTGAGTGCATTTGGGACAACTTTATGATATAAGAGAAATTTGAATGACATGGAGAATTGCCTTACTGAGTCAGATTAGCTTCCCAAGAGGCCAATCAAGGAACATCCCCAGGACCCTGCAGGCCAACGTGTGTAACTACGTATGAGTGTTGTCTTGCTTTCTCTTTTTCTTTGATTGTTGTTTTTGGGGTTCTTTTTTTTTTTGTGTGTGTGTGTGTGTTGGGTTTTTTTTTTAACCTCAGATCTGTAAACATCTTCATTTACCAAATATTGATAAATCTTGTGAAGAAACCAAGCTTTTCCTGTCATCATGTGCTTGTTGCTGACACTGCTAGTGGACAATACAAACGATGGTCTTTAAACACAAAGACACAGCATAGTCACCACCTGTTCTGAAGCTGTCTCAGGAAGTGAAGAATGCCTCATCCTGGCCAGATGTGTCATGGCGCCAGATCTCCTTTTGGTCTTGGTGACAGAGTACCCACAAAGGCAGAGGCAGCATCCAAGAACTCATTTCTATTCCATCATCCACAAATGGAAGAGCCATCGAGCTGTTTCTTTGAAATTACCATTTAGATGAGTTAACCTGCCCCACCCCACCCCCAGCCCGTGCTCCTGCTAGCTTGGTGGGAGGCAGCAGCCGGGGCAGCACAGCGAAACTAAGACCCACGAAAGGGAAATGAGCGCGTGCTTCCCAGGAGTAAACTCACACTGCAATTCACAATGGTGTCTCATGCTGCGAGGGAGCAGTAGTGTTCTTTATCCTGGGCTTTCAATCCACACCTGAGAGCTGGAACCTTTGATCTTCTCGTCCTTGAATTCCCCTCGACATCATGGGGAAGCCATCTCTCACTTTCATCTCTTCCAGATTGAAAATCGGCAATCCTGCCTGTTGTTTTATGTCCAGTTGCTATTCTGAACATAGAGACCATGAGCTGCAGATGCAGAGTAAGTTCTGTGGTGACAGAAGTGGGACTCAGACAAGGACCTCAAGCAGGAAAGGGTCCCCTGCAGTAGATGCTGGAACTAAATAAGAAAAAGCCATGCAGTACAGTGTGGGGAATTCGGTGGCAGGAATTTGGTCAGTGTGTCATAAATTAGCCTGAAGCTTGAAATCTGTGTGCAGTATGGCGGCAGTGACTTGTCCAGGACAGTGGCTCGGAAAAGGCTCACATACACACCCAAGACCTGTGTTTGCTGCGAGGATTTCCATTCCAATGTCTCACAAGGAATGCATCCGGGCCTGCGTGGGTGTGTGTCTCAAGCCGCGTCTGGGGGCTTCAGATTCTAGTGTACACATTCGTTGTAGTGAGCCCATACGCCTTCATCACAGGTATTTCTGTTCAAAACCAGCCATCTAACCTTGACTGAGGACAGAAGGCCAGGCTGGTGCAGGCCCAGGGTTCACTCAGCGCGCACAGCCTCCCTGGTGGTGTTGGCCAGTGTTGATTTGTCACAGAACCTTCCAAAATAATGATGTATTGAGTGTTTCTAGGTTGCTTATTGCATCGGGGATTTTAGGGTAACCAAATTACTATGGATGAGTTCATCTCAAAATTGGAAACAAAAAATTCCATGAATTTAGTCATTCTTTCCTATCTGAAGCTTATTAGCCCATCCTAAGCACATGCAAAAATCATTCCTCATTTTTGAAGGCAGTAACCCTAAACATGGAAGCCAGGAAGTCCTGAGAGTTGTTGGTGGGTGCTATGCAAACTGTCCACTGCCATCATCCTGGGCCCTCTCTGCTGCCACCTGGGCACTGTGACCCAGCTTTCTGCAGTGAGGGACATCGGTGTAGGAGAAAAACCCAGTGGGGCCCACTGTCCTCCAACTCAAGTGAGACAAATCTGAGCACTTGGTTTCACAGATGCTGCCAGGAAATGGATCTAAAACATTTTTTTGCCAGGTGGTAGAAATATAGTGTTCCTCTGGATTATAGTATCTCTTTCTCCTCCTCTGGAAGGTATCTGTCACCATTCATGGGTAAAATTCATAAAGTATCGCTTTGCAACCTTCCTGATGAAATAATATGCTTCTCAATTACAAGTTGTTCATTATTTTCACAAGAATAAAATCAAATTTTCAACCCAGGGAAAGCTATTAAAACCTTAGCTTATGATTTCAGAAAAAGTTGTTTGAACATTCCTAAGATCTAACTTATTCATCCCTAAACAAACACTCTGCTTTGGGTGGCCCTACTCTGATATCGTAATGTTGGGCACAGACTGGTGCTGGAGGCTGTGTCAAGACTTGATTGCATCTAATTAAAGTCTTTCTAACAGCCAATCCCAGTGTCCACATGCATGGAGGAACCAGTCAGATTCCCGCGCTCAGAATTTTAAGAGCCTAATGCCTTTATTTCCCCCATTGCTAACATCTTTCACTGTCCTACTCAATCTATTGTTTAAATTTAAATATTTCATTTAAAATTATTTCAAAGTTATCATTTATTTGCAAGCTCAGGATTTTGCTTTATTTACCACACTGCCTGTGTTCACAGCAGCTGTGGCGAACCTATAGCACATGTGCATGGTGGGCTCTTTGTATCATGGAAAGTTCTGGAAGGTTCACCATCGCTGTTTTAGAGTTTATTTACACTTCATGCCTGGAAGTGTTCTCCACGCACTCTGCATTCAAGGGTGAAGCTTGGTAGATTTGTCCATGGCTTTGCTTTTTTGTTTTTCTCATTCTATCAAAGTCTGTTAGCGCAGACTCAGGCCAAGGGGAGAAGAGAATAAATAAATCAGGAGACCGAAGTTTAGAGCCCAAGTCTCAAAATCTAGAGCTTAGTGTAAAAATCTCAGCTGCTTCTAGAGCAAGTAGCCCAAGGAGGAATGTCTTTCTTGTGAATCTGATGATGATGAGCTTGGAACTCAGCTTCCAACTGGCCTAGGTTGAAGAGGATCCAGCCTTTTCTTACTGGCTCAACAGGAAATTTCTGGGAAACACACTGACAGTCTTAGCACACTCTTACATTTCTTCAAGATTGTGACACTACCCCTGTGCTCCTGAAGTGGGCTGGGCAGACAGCTGGAGGTCCTGGCCTCAGATCTGTTATCATAGCTGATTTTTTTTTTTTCCTGGAGAAACTGAAGCACTTTAGTGAGTCTTATAACCCATAATACTTAAGGAATCTTTTCCTCTGAATGGATCTCTGGCAGCAAGGGAGGGCCTGGGGCCAGGGGTTTCATTTGAGCTAGGAAGGGGGAACCCAGGTATTAAGCCTGGTACCATCACTAGCTATGCAAACTTGGACGAGTGGTTTCATTTTGCTGCGCCTTGGGCTCCCCGGGGAAAGGTGA